TAGATTTCCCCCATTGGTCTCAGATAATCCAGTTATGGTAATGGTGATTTTGAGACTATTTCAAGTAAAATAGAACATGCGCAGAATCCTGCAAAGAAAGTCATTTATTTTCATCTCCATCTGTCTGAGTTTGAGTGCCAACTCAATAAATAAGTAAATGAGTAAGCAAGTAAATGAGTAAGCAAGTAAATAAATACAAAATGAAACAAACAGCATGGGGATGGCATGATGGATTAGTTGGTATATCTCTTGCCTCACGCCGCCAGGGTTTAGGGTTGAATCCCACCTTCATCAATTCTGTATGTGGAGTTTGCATGTTCTATGTAAAAATATGCAGTGAGGTGAGTTGGTGTCTTTAAATTGTCCACAGTGTGCATGCTGCGTGATACACTGGCATCCTGTCCGGGCAGTAAGCTTGCCTTGTGCCCTATGCTGCCTAGGAAAACCTGCACCCATCACCAGGACGAGAAGACGCAATATGGACAGACAAACAGTGTCAGCAGAACATCTCTGCTAAAAATCCAGTAACATCCACTAAGACATTAGAATAATCGTGAATCAGTAAAGAGTATAGAAGAGGTTGACTGGGACTCATACTGTGGTAAGTACAACGAAGTGTGAGGGCGTGTGGCTGATTCCATGGTTACGAAAATTACTGTGATTTGCTGCACAAATTAAAGGGCGCTTTAAAAAGGGCTTAAAGGAAATGAGTTACTGAAAATCAAAAGCGGCTTGTCAAGTGAGGATTTTATTGTCGTGAACCAGAGGTTGGATATGAAACCAGAACACTTTGAAAAGATTTATATTGAACTTAATGCTATGTTTACTCACTTACTAGTATTTTACACTTACATTGTGTTGTGTTTATTTTCCTGGTTATATTTGATGTACAAATGAAGTACATACACAGGTTTTACATCACCCAAGTATCATTTTTTCTACATTCCTTAATATTATCCTTAATACTTCAGTATTTTCCCATATGTTAACATGCTATCATATCCAACATTATTGCTGTTCTGAAAACTTGCTTTTTGTACCTGACAGACACCTCAATTGTAATTTTATATAGGGGACATTCTACCCAAAGCCCAGTGGCATAAGTGATTTTGTTTCTATGATTCGCAGTCAGCAACCCAGGTCCTGTCAGCAGTGAGAACACAGAGGCATGCTAGCTCAAGAGGACAGGATTGACAGGTAGAGAACCTGCCAGGTGGGTGGTAGGCAATACAAACGGTGTTCAAGCATTATAATGGTCAGTATAGAAATTAATACAGCATTATAGCATTTTCTATTGACAGTCATAACGAATTATAGTGTTGATTATAATACTTTATAATATTAGGCATAACATAAAAGGCATAACACATTATATCCATGTTTATTAAGCATAATGAATGCTTTACGAAGCTCTCATCTGTGATGCACTATAGATACAGTACCTTCATAATGCAACATTAAGGATGCTTTGTACCCTGAGTCAACTGCGGTGTTTTGCCATTTGATGCCAGGAAAAATAACCTTGTGTTCTGGGTAAATGCTTCTTGTTTAAAAAGGCTGGCATGACACATTCTGAACTGAATTCCTATTAACTTTACTACCCGATGGCCTTTGTGATCAAAATACATATTTGTAACAGAATCATAGAAACAAAATCACTTATGCTACAGGGCTTTTGGGTAGAATGTCACCAATATAAAATTACAATTGAAGTGCTGCTTTCCTGTTTTCAACAGTGTCGTTAATCTTCAATTAAGGGTGGATCTTAAATAGTTTGTTAGCCATTTGCACCAAAAACACCAATAATTTCTGGAATAGGCTCCAGGCCCCCATGACCCCGCCTAAGAGAAACGGGTATAGGAGATGGATGGATGGATGGATGGATTTTTATGTGTTCACATCCACCCTATCAATGGTGGGTGGATTTTACCTTAACTCACTGCACAAATAAAACTGGGATAAAAATTGTCTGGATGAAGGCAAGACATCTACAGACACTGCTTATTAAGTTAACTTTATAATCGTGGTAAAACTAAACGTTTGTATCACAATGTGGATTACAAGTCTTGTAGTTCTACGTGTCTAAGGAAAAATCTGTTTTCAGAGTAATTCCTGTCATTTCTTCTTCAGATTCATTCTACAGAACAATAAGGCTGATTCATGCTGCTCTGTGAGAAAACTATGTAGTGTAAGCGCAGAGAAACACACATGACACAAACGTCTCCCAAGGAATGTGCGGACAGATCGCTGACGTGTTGGTTTTAAAAGAGGATGGCAGAACTTGAAGCAGAATACAGCCTCAAGTATAGTAGCCAAGAGGCTGTTTGGCTGGACAACATCTGGAACTGGTTACTTGAATTATTCAGCATTAAATAGGTCACGTAACTAACCATCGCATTTTTTCACAAAAAATCGCTCACCTAAAATCAGATGGAGTTCTATATTCCCCAAATATCTGCTGCAAAGTATTTATATCAGTCATCTCAAAGTGTAGGAAGTCCATACATCTGATTAATGTTTCAGCCCGTCCTCCAGTTTTATTCCTGTGTATTACAAAAAACTCTGAAGTAAAACATTTACTTAGCTAGATGCCATTCAGTTGCATGACTTGAGTCGAATTAATATACAGCTTTTGTAAAACCACTACAAAGAATAAACTGTGGTTTGTTTTAGCTCCTAACTTACAGCAAAATAAAACAAAAGAATCTATCAAAAAAATAAATAGCAAAATTGCAAACCCGAAATGCATGAGAAAACAGAGATGGGTGGAATAGTGTTAACATCCTGGGTGGAATTACTGCGCTACAAACTGTATAACCTAATATGGTGCACTGGTGGGCTTAGTTTTATTCTGGAAATAGATGTGTGTAATGTTGGTGGGCCATGTTGGGAGATTGAGCCCAAGGCAATTTATTATAGCCTCCAGTGCGCCAATAATGCAGTGATGTCATTGTACTCAAAAATGACCAAGTTGGCTGCTGATGCTATATACAGTTATTAGGAACTGTGGTCTCTGCATCTTGCAGAGCTGTTGTATGTGGGACAGCTCATATGCTTCAAAGTTATCTGTGTTCCTCAGCTACAAACAGCAGCCTGCAGTGCGCCATGTCGGACTTAGAGCACATTGCCTATTCACTGGGGAATGCAGTCGCTCGGCCTTTGGTTTGATTACGCTGTTTTTCGCCCTTGTCAGCTGACGCAAAGAAACAGCTACGTGTGAACCAAGCATTATGCCACATGGAAGAAAACTGGGTAAAAAGGCATAAACTTTGGTAAGAGCCCTTCTGACAGCTGACAAGGCAGGCTACACACGATGGAAACCCATTCATCCATAAGAGGAAATAGGTTGCAGTACCATCCCATCTAGGGACTCATCATGTACTTACTTGGTAATCCCAGTATGTGAGGCTCTCTATGTTACGGAGGGCATTTCCTGCTCTTCAAAAGGGTTGTTATTGTCATGCACGAATTTCACCTATAAAATGTTTTTAAGTAGCCTACTGAATTAATGCTTAGGTCACAGTTTCAAGTCCCAGGGAGATAGAGGTGATCCACAAGAAGCTAAATCTAGAATCAGCAGTATGCTAAATTGAGGTGGCAGATTATAAGTGAAGAATTTTAAATACAAACCCATGTGAATTCAATGTTAATTTCAAAGTGTCGATGGCAGCCCAGAAGAAAATCTGTTTATGAGCTGTCAGTTTATATCTTCTTTATGGGTGGCAAACAAACAATAAATAAATGCTACTTCTTTCATATTATCAGAACCGACCCTGAAATTTGGAACACATTTCCGTAATTGAAAACACAATCACATTCTGAGAATAATTTGTTCCAGCATAATCCAGATGTAAAAAAAAGAAATGCCTTAGTAGTCCAGATGACGTACAATGAAACCGTCTTCCAAGTCAATAAATTCATTGCTAAAATAAAAAATAAAGCAAATGTAACTTATGTGGATAAAAATAAATTTCAACATAATATTGTTACATTAGAATTTAACCTGAGATTTAACAACTGAGGTGAATCTTGGAAGCATGTAAAACCTAAATGACATTATGAGCCCTTTTGCCATTACTTTTTTTTATACTGTCTTTCCTTGTAAAATTTTGAGTCTGTATGTACAATGTAGATGTAATGATTGCATATCCATTTGCTGTTTGTTATTATTATTATTTTTTATTATTATTATTATTATTATTATTTTTATTATTTTTGAGTGTGCACTTGATGAGTGTGCACTTGATTGTGTGTGAGTGTGACTGTTACTCTGTCCAGGATGTCACTTGCCTTGTACCTTTTGCTTCCTGCACTGGATGAGTACCTATAGTATTTATTATACGCTCTGCCACGCTGCCTTATACTGTCCCAGCACGAAAATTCATTGACACCCATTAAAGGTCTCCACAGCAAATATGTCCACCAACAACAAATCACTTTCTGACAACAGCGTGAACAGTCCTGGGGTAGTATGGAAACAAACGATTCATAAACAAAACAAAAGCCAACCAGCTAAAAATTATGATTTTATATGTAGAAATTTTGTATATTTTTGTATTTCTCATTCTATTAGTGCTTTAGTATCCTGACTACTGCTTCATGATGCTGAGTCTCTGCAATAAAACAAGTATCAAATTAACCGTCAAACAATACAAATTTAAATATGTGCTGTACTGTTTACATATGAAATAAACATTTGTTTGCATGTATTGCCATGCTCTATATTAGCCATATGTTGATCTACTGGTGCCAATTGATGCAGTGAAGAGGTATTATGGAGTCTATTTAGTTTCTGCTCTACAACCTGCACAATTGACTTATACCGTTTCAAATGAGATGAAGAATGAAGAGTCTGGAGTTTGACGTGTGCATAATAAAAATGGCTTATATTGCACCTCTTTATTATTCCTTTCCTACATTTATGTTCTAAATGTTCTTGTCAAGGTAAGTAGAGCTAAACCATTGTTAATTCTGTTCAGAATTTCATGCAATACCCTAAAATCAACATTTTCATTCATTGACGAGAAGACACTCTGCATGTTAGAAATATTTCTCCATCTAATAAAATATTTTAACAAAATGTGTGCAATTAGTGCAATTAAAGTTAAGGCAGACAAAATGAAAGCACTGACTTTCAAAATCTAAACAAATAAAATAAAATGAAAATCCTACAACTCTGACCCTAAACCAAACCACTGATAACATTTACTATATAATTTGTGTTTAGCAAGTGGTTGAGTTTGGATTTTATTCGGCCCTTAGTCAACACAAATCCATTCCTCAGCATTATGATGCATCAGGAACAGCTGCTTCTTCTCCTTGTTCCCCCACTTGTCCAGCGACAGCCACTTTATCAAACATCTATGCACAAATGTGCTGCTGCAGGGAGTAAAGTGAGACTGTAATCAGAGAACTCAGAAGCTACATGATCTTATTTCCATGCAAACCACGTACTGGGTATAAGCCTCAGGAGACCTCCAGGACTGGTCCAAGTGGCCAGCTTCATACCTCAAACATGCTGTGGCCCGATGAGTTCAAGGCTGGAGACCCTGATATGACTAAAGCCCCGCAGCTCATTAAATTCCCGTCACATTCCCCAGACGCCAAGCCAGTTTCAGTACTGTTTTGGCTGAAGTAGGTTTATGTTGGGAACTTGAAATATTCTCCAGATTTTTTTCTAATTATATGGCCACATAAAATAGATTTCATAAGCATCAAAATGCTAATTCTGAGTAACTTCCTGTCCTACTTGTCATTTGTCTAGATTCACAGCTCTTGAATATAAAGATTATATAGTGTCACCAATTTTTGGTAGATGTAGGTAAAACTGCTACTATGTATGTAAAAGGAAGTTATTATCTGTTCTTATGCAAACTCGGTAACAACATTGCAGTGTTTTTTTTTTGTTTGTTTTACCTAAAACACATTTTCCACAAGGTCCAAACTGTTACCAGTTATTCAGACATAAATATATAGATGCAGTGGCTGGCCGCAGCTTAGCTCACTGCACTTTACTGCAGTTGCTATGACTGTAAAGGTCCATCCCTTCCTCCATATGTGTCATTTCCAGCTAGTCTTCTTCCTGCAACATCATTTAACTGTTCAGACCATATCCTTACTATAACCACACACTATAACATACTCAAACTCATTCAATCCATAAAAGGACTACAACTGAACATGCGACATATCTGAGGTCCCTGGTTATATTTATGATATTTATTCATATTTTTGATCATTCTGTGGGGCAGCATGGTGCTGCAGTGGCCACCTCTGGGAAGAGGAATCAAGTCTCCCCCATGGTTCCATGTGTGGGGAGTTTGCATGTTTTCCGTGTGATTGTGGGGTTTAACCCCAAAGTCCAAAAACATGCTGAGGTTAATTCCAAATTGCCGGTAGGTGTGTGTGTGTGACTGAGTGAATGGTGTGTGGGCGTGCCCTACGATAGGCTGGCACCCCATCCTGGGTTATTCCCTGACTTGTACGTGTGAGTGAATGGTGTGTGGGCGTGCCCTGCGATAGGCTGGCACCCCATCCTGGGTTATTCCCTGCCTTGTACGTGTGAGTGAATGGTGTGTGGGCGTGCCCTGTGATAGGCTGGCACCCCATCCTGGGTTATTCCCTCTCTTGTGCTCATAAGCTCCAGATCCCCGTGACTCTGAATAGGATAAGCGGGTACAGAAAATGGATGGATGGCTTTTAGAAGTTTTATATTTTAATATGTTCATTGTCATTGGGTTTCATTGTTGCATGAAATGAATATTTTATTACACAGCACTTCACCAGTAAAGGTCCTGCATCCAGCTTTTACTGGAGTATTACGCTCTTCCTTATTCAAAATGGTGCGATGTGACAATTAATTAGAACTTAATCAAGATTTATTGTGTCCAGATCCATCTACGGCATGTAAGCAAAATGAAATACCTACAGAAAATGGGTAGATGTACGTATTTACTGTACTGCTCAATGCAGCTACATGACAAAAAACATGTAACAACGTAGCATTGTTCCTACCCCAGTGATTGTGGGATACCAGGATTTTTACGGGCTATTCATTTCCCAGATGGAAAATATTGCCCACTTAAAATTTAACATGGGACTTAACTGTGGAATATTTTCATAGGAGGGAGCCAAGATGATTTTAAGATGGGCTGGGGGGGGGCATAGACTTCCTGGGGCAGGGTTAGGTGATAAGCCCATTTACTCATCAGTAATATAAACTAACGTAACATAAAGTAGCAGGAACTTAAAAACATAAAAGCCCTCTGTTTTCTTCTTGCCTTGGACTACACTCCTAGACCTAGCTGTCCTTTCCAAGACCCTAATAATTAATTTGTTACTCAGCTTATTTCCTTTTGACTCTGCCGCAGTCAGAATGCCTGTCTTTTCTTTCTCTCCCTCGTCACCATCCGTTAAACCCACATCCCAAATAAAGTCACCCCCCGCCTACCTCCATACCAGTGATTTTTAATAACATGAATATTTTCAGCAGTCTTTAAAACATTACTGCCTGTTACTTGCCTGTGTCATGTTTATATGAGTAATTTACATGCTTGCTTACATTTTTTTCTCTGCCATCAGAAGCTCTTTTACAAAGGCAGTCAACCAATGACAAGTGTTTTTGCACAGCTGAGTCAATGAAGTCCGCAGTTGGTTCACAATGAGCTATTGTATTGCCATAATAAGCCAGTGTATTGATCAAAGTATAAAATCAAGCCAAAATTATATCAGGACAAATAAGAATGAAATAAGATCATACTTATCCCTCATATGGGAATCAACAATTTTGTTATTGTGCAGGAGACTCCCAAAATATAAAATTCCTTTCCTTTCCAGACCCTCAGGAGAATTCTTGGAACGAATTGAAAAATTTATACCCAACATTAAAGCCAGAACAACATAGGATACTATCTACCAATTGCCTCTCAGTAAATGTTACAGTATTACAAGAAATACACAATATTGGAGTAACAGTTTCAATGACACACAAGGATCAGTGCCATTTTTTAAGGAAATTTATTCAATCTAAAGGTCTTTTTTTTCTTCAGAAAATCGAGATTGGGGAAATTCCATCCAGGAAAAAAAGACTGACACAGGAAAAACATTTGGCCTTTTAAAACAAACGAATCACATCCACATATTTTGTCTGCATAACTTTTCCTGGCAAATATTCATTCCCTAAAATGGGTACAATTTTTTCATTATATACCGTCACATAATTATGAATCCCACAGAAAAGAATAATATACCTAAACCACATAAACATGGAATCCATAATAAAACCAGTGTACCTAAAGCACACACTGGTTACTCACAGCAGTTGAAGCCACTGAGCTATTGAGCCACTAGTATATATATATGATGGATCTGGGAATACTCTTTGTTTCTGTTTTCTGTCCATTGCGCAGGAAAAAAGCACATCTCAGGCCAACTCTACCAGGAGAAACGCTACATTTTATTTCTGTCCTCAGCCCTAGACCAAGTTTCCTTAACAAACTCCAGAAACTCCAGGCACTCAAAAATACTACCAACTGCTGTAGACACTATATATTTTACAATACAGGTAGAACATTTAATGTATTAAGAAGAAGCTTAACTGAACAGAGCGTAGAAGAATGCGATTTATGTAGCCTCACCCCCCATTTCACGGGCAGTGCTGCAGAAACCACCTCTGGGATGATTTTGCTTTTGCGTTTTGTGTCTGCCATGCGATACTGACAAGTGTTTATAAAATCCCTGTGGTTACTCAACAGTAAAAATGAAATACTGCTAAAAGATTATTTATTCCCATACACAGAGTCTGTTTACAAGGACTAAAAGAATGTAGCATGGCAAAGTTCTTTTCTGAATAAATATCATGCTGGTCAACTATAGTCACTTTCATTAAACGATAAAGGCTTCTGATACCTTATAAAGGGGCAGTAGGTAGCGTATGGCTAAAAGTGAATTATCACCTGAGTTTCAGCAGGGACTCTGCTCATGAGTGAGACACTTAACATGCACTAGTAAAAACACCAAAATACACTTAATGTGAGCTATTCTGCTGGAAGCATCCAGCTGTTAATAAACTGCAAACCCAGCAGGTTTCAGACCTTCCACTAAGCAACACAATTTAATGTGTAATTGTTGAACATGTATAATATCCATCCATCCATCCGGAGCCGATCCAAGACGGGAGCAGGGAATAACTCAGGATGGGTCACCATGGCACCATCACATGGCAGCATACCTAACATTTAAATTATGGTCCAATTTTAGGAAACTTTGGAAGCGAATTTTTTTACCCACTTAGTTGAGAACTCGAGCATTGACGAACAAGTTGTGTTTTTAAAAACACACGGTGCTACATGGTTTTTAAACCTTAATTCTGTTGGCTTCAAAAGTTCTTCCCTCCGACCGTATTATGTTATTCTTGCGAATTCAGCGATCTCTTTAGCCGTCGATGGTGCATCTCCGCAGTGACGGGATGTTTGAAGTTACAAATGAACTTGTATCCTGAAACATGATCGTTTAGTGGGATCCTGCCAGAGTTTCGTTCCCTTTCCTTTAACAGATCACAGCCCCTCCCCTTGAGTGAGCCTGAGCTCTGGCTTTTGGATGGGTGCATGCTTTCTCCGCGTGACCCAGACCCCCTGAATAAACAAGCAACTTGCTTGCAGTGAGGCCCATGTTGCTGACGGGCTGTGCACTATTTCCAGAGTTACGGGGAGGGGGCACTCCCCCCTAATAAAACACACCTACCGTTAAAGCTCAGATTTCTAGAAAGAAATTATTCGCCTCCAGAAAGTGTGCATTTAAATGACGTCATTTCTAAAGTCCTTCTGGAGTGTTTAACAGGTTTGTGACACATTATGACATTTAAAAAAATGGTAGTGAAGACTTTGAGTGTGATTTGCTTTACATCAGTGCCTCGCCCAAAAGGACCAGATCATGGTCCTCTGACATCCGCCAAAAGGAACAGATCGTGGTCCTCTGACATCCGCCAAAAGGACCAGATCATGGTCCTCTGACATCCGCCAAAAGGACCAGATCATGGTCCTCTGACATCCGCCAAAAGGACCAGATCATGGTCCTCTGTATCATGTCAGATTCCTAATTGATTTCTTTTTCTCTAAGCCCCCTCTGACTCCACAATAGACCTTTGCCAGAACCGCAGTCTCGTTATACCACTTTTAAATGAATGGAAAAGCAGTTCCGGCCCCAGTGAAGAAAACTTTCCTCCAGATGTGAGTCCTTGTATCACCTCCTTTCCAAACCTTTGTGTCTCACGTCACAAAGCAAAACCAATCTAATGCCAAAATGTGTTGACATGCTCTTTATGTCCCAGCCAGGAACCTCACATTTTGTATTAGTCTGGCTCATCAGACAGCAGAGCACAG